TAGTGTGGGGTGGTAGAGTTTGATACATTCTCTTTGAGATAGGGGAGAGAGGCATGGGATGAGGAACAGTCAAAAGGAAGACCGGGAGGTGGATAAGAACTGGACAGTAAAAAAAAAATTAAAGAATAATAATTAAAATAGTTTCAAATTAATAAAAACATAAAAGAAGAATTAATCTGGAAGATTTGTGATATAATTTATGCCCTGCTTACACCAATGAACGTATATAATCATTAATGATTCCTGCAATCTGAATTCACCGAAAATCTTGTCTTAATCCCTTTTTTGTTTATGTTTTAAAACACTGTATACAAGTCAACATATCAAACAAAGGTTTAATTTGATTTGTAGCTCTAGATTGCTATAAGATGATAGAACATCAGGGCAGCAAGCAATCATGCTAACCAGGGAAAGTGAAGATCGTGAAGTTATCAACAAGAAAGAAGTAGAGTTAGGCAACTCTGTGAATGGTGTAAATCATTTCAGGTCTTAAGCCTGCCTTCATGGACATATTTTGTCCAACAGAGACAACACTCCCAAATTCTTCTCAAATAGTTTCACCACTGTTTCCAGCTTCACTCTTTCTTCCTCAAGAACATCCTCCATGCAAAAAAAGACTCCACAGTACAAGGCTGAAGGCCAAGTCCTGACTAACAATCTGTCATGTCTTTTTCATAGGAGCATTCTTCAGGGTACTGGGGTCTTGGGGCAGCTCCTGTGCTTTCTGTCTGCTCCATGATGTGCATGTCCCAGATACAATCTAGGGAGCTTCCAACTCCTTAGCAATAATTTGGACTCTCAAAGGCATCTGATGGTATGAGCTTAGCAGTTATCAGGTTCTTTGCATTTCTGGTTGTCATCCAGTGATCTATCTTTCTGATTCTTTACTGATTCTTTCCACCAAGAAAATCCTACCTAGTCCAGGGGATAATGTCTACATCATATAAATGACTAAAACTACCAGATAATACAGGTCTAAAAGCAGTTCAAAGAAAAGAAGTTATTCTTATAAGAATAAATAAATGAGATTTAAAAAGGCATAGCACAGAATAAATGTCTCTCTTCACCAATGTAACAAAATTTAATGTCAGAAGGAGAATTATCCTCATGTATTATGGATACATTCAGGATAAATTATGTGTTCACATTTGTGACTATGTTGCTATTTGCACCAGGTTTCATGTATACAGATGCATAGAATGTGAGATTGTCAATGTGCATGGATCTGATATCAAGTACATTTGCTTCAAACAAAATATATACTAATGATTTCAAGAGCTGAAATGGACAAAATTGGTAATTCTTCCATCACATTTAGAAAAATTTTAGATCTTTATCAGACAAGTCTAATTCTCAGCAACTATTGTCTCAGAGAGAATCTGTACACAGCATGTGTAAGTACAAACACAGACACTTGGGATAATACAGCAGACCTGAGTCTGATCTGTTAACATAAGAGTATGTGATGCTGTTTATATTTCATATTTTAAAAGGCATGACATAACTACATATAACTGTCATCATTCTCAGTGACATAAAGACCCTTGCATCTTCTCTGAGCACTGTCTTATCACACAGTTCCATCCAGAGCTTGCTATATAGCAAGAGGCGATGCAAATAGAGACTTCTGCCACTCAATAAAACCATCCCAGTGCTGAGCCTCACCTGTGGCAGAGGAACTCAGCACTGGATTCCAGTCAGGTCACTCATTCAACGATTAGCACTGAAAACAGGCTACTCACTATGGAGTTAGGCTTAGGTGTGTTTTCCTTGCTGCTCTTTTAAAAGAGTCTCAGAGAAGAGACTTTGTTTGTTTAAAGGGACATGCATAAGAGAAACAGTGGATATATTTGACAGTTTTCTGACTATGATTCTCTGTGTTTCCAGGCATACAGGGTGATGTGCAGCTGGTAGAATCTGGAGTTTGCTTGGTCAGGCTAGAAGGTCCATTAAACTCTCATGTGAAGTCTCTGGAATCACCTTCAGTAATTACTGAATGAACTAGATTCTCTAAGTCCCAGGGAAGGGTCTAGAGTGGTTAGCAGATATTAAAAATGGTGGTACTGCAAGACACTATGCAGAGTCTGTGAAGGGCAGAATTGCCATCTTTGGAGACAATTCTAAGAACTTATTGCATCTCCAAATGAACAATCTGAGAAATGAGGACAATGCCATGTATTACTGTGCAATTGACACAGTGAGGAAATGGAACTGTGAGCTCAGGCACAAAACTCTCCAGAAGGTTTTGATGGCCAGCAGGGGGCCCTCGTATACAGGGAACTCCAGATCTAAAGAAGTAGAGGATTGTGGATGGTAAGATATTCTGTGTCTAAGCGGTCTCAAATAATAATTCATACTTTTCATTAAAGCTCTACAGAGGCATGCATTCTAATCATTTTTTGAATGATCAAATATCTAAAGAAATATGTCTATCATTCTGATGCACATATTTAAATATATGACACAGTCTGTTCTGAACAAAATTCAGAGCATTAACAGGGCAGGTGTGACTCACCTGAAGGCATCAGGATCACAGGGTGAGGATAAAAAAGGAACCATCAAGTTCTTTTAAAACAAATGAAGATGTGTGTGTGTGTGTGTGTGTGTGTGTGTGTGTGTGTGTGTGGATTGGTTATAGGATTTCTCTAATGATTAAAACCAAAGACAGGGATTCCAGGTACACCTGTGAGAATACTGGTCGAGACGAGTTATATGACCTTGAGTAATAGTCTGAGAAATACATCCAAGGGTATGATATTGTAAGAATATTTGGTTTCAAATAGTAATATTCTCTACAGAATCACCAATGTTAAATACCACAATCAGCTCAATTGTATTCAGCCTTCTTTTGTGCCAGGGATTCACGTGCAAGAGCTTAACTCTCTGGGCTGCAGGAAATACATTTCTCATTCCTGAGGCTCAGGAGTTTGTCATTCCTTTAGTTAAGTGATTAAACAAGTGTTCTCAGTGAAACATTCTAGCATAACCAATGAGTAACTGATGAATGCAAACAGTAGACTAAATCTAGGCACTGTGTGTTCCAAGTGCTGTTAAGAATATAAGATGAGGCCCTGTAGTGGTGGCACACGTCTTTAATCCCAGCCCTTGGTGGCAGAGACAAGCAGATTTCTGAGTTTGAGGCCAGTCTGGTCTACGGAGTAAGTTCCAGGACAGCCAGGGCTATTCAGAGAAACCCTGTCTTGAAAAAACAAAAACAAAAACAAAAAACAAAAAACAAAAACAAACAAAACAAAAAAAAGAATATAAGTTGAATGTTTAGAAGTGTGTGAAGGATCATAGGTAAAATGATGTCTTTGCTGTGGAAGCTAAAGAAATAGCCAAAAACTCATGTAAGTTCCTTTGAACATAATAAATAAACTGACACTTTTCTCACTGATTCATTAGTGCATTTGATGGTCTTCATTTTCCATAAGGCTTCATACAAACTTGTTTAAAAGTTCCTGAATAAGTTCCTCAGAACAAAACTTATTTATGGTGTTTAATGATACACCAGTAAATAGTCTCATTGTTTCATGACCTGCACATACCTCCCATTGTGGACAAGGATAGAACTCTCATCCTTAGGGAGCCAGAGAAGTGTAAAGATGGGTGATTTCCTGTAAGTGTTGCTGTCTCCCTCCTGCAGGTAATCTTACTTCTCATTGATCATTCTAACATTCAGTAATTTTTCTTTTGGTTGGCAGGAGCAAAAACTCACCATGAAAAATGATGGAAGTGTAATCAGGGAGATTATAAAATCTATTGGTTCAGTACAATTATAACTAGACTCATCCTCACCCAGAGATCATTTTTCTGCTTTTAAGACAATTCAGAGACATTCCTGGGATCCAAATCATAGGAGCACTTGAGACCCTATTCATTCTAAATCAGATATCTTGTCAAAAGACCTGTCATTATAAAGAAACACACTATGATCTAGAAGATCACAACACTTTCCACACCACACAGTCATTGTAGTGTTTGTAATTCTGTTTTTATGCTTCTCAGACACTGAAAATGACAGAGCATTGAAAAATTCTCTGTAGACAATCATGAACTGAAAGGACTGTAATGGATCAGAAAGAGAGCATTGCACATGCGATATAGAGTGAGATTGGATAGAAAAGATGGTCTAGTGGGTTATTTACTGATTTATCTGCACAGCCCAGAGAATTCTGCCCTCAACCTTTGAAAGGCCAAGAATGAATTGATTCAACAGGATGATAGCAGTCATACTTTGAAAAATATTATAATTTCTTTGTGTAATAGAAAAATAAGCATAAAACATATGCATACTAAATACTTTTTCAAGTTTTCAACATCATCTATCAAGAGAATGTAAATAAATACATTAATTTGAGATGTCATCTAATCCAGGCAACAATGATATTTATTGAGAAAATAAGTGAAACCAAATGATAATGAAAAATTGGTGAAAGGGAATATACAGTGCATGGTCTGCATTGTATTTCCTGTGAAATTCTGACTGGAAATTCCGCCAAATTAAAAAAAATGGTGTCATGTAACTGGCCTATAACACTCCTGTGCATAAAGCTCAGGACTCCATATCTGAAAGATAGGATGTCATCTGTGCAACAAGAGTGTATATCAAGTTTTAGGATAGACAGAAACACATATTCTGGGTGAGAAAAGAGAAGAACACTAAGAACAATATGTACTTACTAATAAGAAAGGAAGATATCAGGAAAATAGTCATGAAAGGAAGGTTAGCATT